AGGCAGTGGATGAGGCAGTGATAGAGGCACTGGTTGAGGCAGTGATTAGAGGCAGTGGTTGAGGCAGTGATAGACATGTAAGGCAGTGATAGAGGCAGTGGTAGAGGCAGTGGTAGAGGCAGTGTAGAGGCAGTGATAGAGGCAGTGGTTGAGGCAGTGGTAGAGCAGTGATAGAGGCAGTGATAGAGGCAGTGATAGAGGCAGTGGTAGAGGCAGTGGTAGAGGCAGTGGTAGAGGCAGTGATAGAGGCAGTGGTAGAGGCAGTGATAGAGGCAGTGATAGATGCAGTGGTAGAGGCAGTGATAGAGGCAGTGGTAGAGGCAGTGATAGACGAAGTGATAGAGGCAGTGGTAGAGGCAGTGATAGAGGCAGTGATAGAGGCAGTGATAAAGGCAGTGGTAGAGGCAGTGGTAGAGGCAGTGGTAGAGGCAGTGGTAGAGGCAGTGGTAGGAGTGATACAGGCAGTGGTAGAGGCAGTGACAGAGGCATTGGTAACAGGCAGTGATAGAGGGCAGTGATAGAGGCAGTGGTAGTGATAGAGGCAGTGGTAGAGGCAGTGGAAGAGGCAGTGGTAGAGGCAGTGGTAGTGGTAGAGGCAGTGGTAGTGATAGAGGCAGTGGTTAGAGGCAGTGGTAGAGGCAGTGGTAGAGGCAGTGATAGAGGCAGTGGTAGAGGCAGTGATAGAGGCGGTGGTTAGAGGTAGTGGTAGAGGCAGTGATAGAGGCAGTGATAGAGGCAGTGATAGAGGCAGTGGTAGAGGCAGTGATAGAGGCGGTGGTAGAGGCAGTGGTAGAGGCAGTGATAGAGGCAGTGATAGAGGCAGTGATAGAGGCAGTGGTAGAGGCAGTGATAGAGGCGGTGGTAGAGGCAGTGTAGAGGCAGTGATAGAGGCAGTGATAGAGGCAGTGATAGAGGCAGTGATAGAGGCAAGCAGTGATAGAGGCAGTGGTAGAGGCAGTGATAGAGGCAGTGATAGAGGCAGTGGTAGAGGCAGTGATAGAGGCAGTGGTAGAGGCAGTGATAGAGGCGTGTAGAGGCAGTGGTAGAGGGCAGTGAGTAGAGGCAGTGATAGAGGCAGTGGTAGAGGCAGTGGTAGAGGCAGTGACAGAGGCAGTTTTAGAGGCAGTAATAGAGGCAGTGGTAGAGGCAGTGACAGAGGCAGTTGGTAGAGGCAGTGATAGAGGCAGTGGTAGAGGCAGTGGACAGAGGCAGTGGTAGAGGCAGTGTGTAGAGGCAGTGGTAGAGGCAGTGGTAGAGGCAGTGGTAGAGGCAGTTGTAGAGGCAGTGGTAGAGGCAGTGATAGAGGCAGTGGACAGAGGCAGTGGTAGAGGCAGTGTAGAGGCAAGTGATAGAGCAGTGTAGATGAGAGCAGTGGGTACAGGCAGTTGATAGAGGCAGTGATAGAGGCAGTGGTAGAGGCAGTGGTAGAGGCAGTGTAGAGGGCAGTGGATAGAGGCAGTGGTAGAGGCAGTGGTAGAGGCAGTGAAAGTAGAGGCAGTGGTTAGAGGCAGTGATAGAGGCAGTGGTAGAGGCGTGGTAGATGGCAGTGATAGAGGCAGTGGTAGAGGCAGTGGTAGAGGCAGTGGTAGAGGCAGTGGTTAGAGGCAGTTTATAGAGGCAGTGGTAGAGGCAGTGGTAGAGGCAGTGGTAGAGGCAGTTGTAGAGGCAGTGATAGAGGCAGTGGTAGAGGCAGTGATAGAGGCAGTGGTAGAGGCAGTGGTAGAGGCAGTGGTAGAGGCAGTGGTTGAGGCAGTGGTAGAGGCAGTGATAGAGGCAGTGATAGAGGCAGTGGTAGAGGCAGTGATAGAGGCAGTGGTAGAGGCAGTGATAGAGGCAGTGGTAGAGGCAGTGGTAGAGGCAGTGGTAGAGGCAGTGGTAGAGGCAGTGGTTGAGGCAGTGGTTGAGGCAGTGGTAGAGGGCAGTGATAGAGGCAGTGATAGAGGCAGTGGTAGAGGCAGTGATAGAGGCAGTGGTAGAGGCAGTGGTAGAGGCAGTGGTAGAGGCAGTGTTTGAGGCAGTGGTAGAGGCAGTGATAGAGGCAGTGGTAGAAGCAGTGGTAGAGGCAGTGGTAGAGGCAGTGGTAGAGGCAGTGATAGAGGCAGTGGTAGAGGCAGTGGTTGAAGCAGTGGTAGAGGCAGTGATAGAGGCAGTGGTAGAGGCAGTGGTAGAGGCAGTGGTAGAGACAGTGATAGAGGCAGTGGTAGAGGCAGTGGTAGAGGCAGTGATAGAGGCAGTGGTAGAGGCAGTTATAGAGGCAGTGGTTGAGGCAGTGGTAGAGGCAGTGGTAGAGGCAGTGATAGAGGCAGTGACAGAGGCAGTGGTAGAGGCAGTGGTAGAGGCAGTGATAGAGGCAGTTTTAGAGGCAGTGGTAGAAACAGTGATAGAGGCAGTGGTAGAGGCAGTGGTAGGGGCAGTGATAGAGGCAGTGGTAGAGGCAGTGGTAGAGGCAGTGGTAGAGGCAGTGGTAAAGGCAGCGATAGAGTCAGTGGTAGAGGCAGTGATAGAGGCAGTGGTAGAGGCAGTGGTAGAGGCAGTGATAGAGGCTGTGGTAGAGGCAATGATAGAGGCAGTGGTAGAGGCAGTGATAGAGGCAGTGATAGAGGCAGCAGTAGAGGCAGTGATAGAGGCAGTGGTAGAGGCAGTGGTAGAGGTAGTGATAGAGGCAGTGGTAGAGGCAGTGGTAGAGGCAGTGGTAGAGGCAGTGATAGAGGCAGTGGTAGAGGCAGTGATAGAGGCAGTGATAGAGGCAGTGGTAGAGGCAGTGGTAGAGGCAGCAATAGAGGCAGTGGTAGAGGCAGTGGTAGAGGCAGTGGTTAGAGGCAGTGTAGATAGGGCAGTGGTAGAAGCAGTGATAGAGGCAGTGATAGAGGCAGTGGTAGAATCAGTGGTAGAGGCAGTGGTAGAGGCAGTCACACTCAATCTACAAGCACCAAACAATGAATTATTGTGAAATGTTTGGAAGAGCAGGGAGACTAATGTTCACTCCAGCATAAACAAAGTCACACTGACAATGTGTCAACCACTCCCTCGTGTTTTTGTACAATTTCCTTCTTCAATTATATCGTATTATTATTATTATTATTATTATTATTATTATTATTATTATTATTATTATTATTATTATTATTACAGTATTATTATTATTATTATTATTACTATTGTTATTATTAGCAGTAGCAGAAATGTTTGGTTCTTTGCTGTGTTCAAGAGTAAACACATGATATCACCGTCCAATACCTGTCCAAATAGCCATTCCAATATGCAGTCATGAATGTTTTCACATTATTTATAATGTAGTTTAATAGCAAATAATGAACAAACAAAACACTCACCACACTGAGTGGTGGGAGGGCTGGCTGCCAGTTGCGGGGGTCGGAGGGAGGGTAGTAGGGACTCGCAGTGGTTGAGGAAGTGGTGGAGGCATTGGTGGAGTCTGTGGTATTTAATAACATACATGTTATTAAAGCATAACATGTATATATTTAGTACAATTTACGACGTTTTCATGTATTTTATGATTGTTCATGGTTCAACAAGTTAAGGAAGCAGTATTGTATTAGATTTCCCTACAATATATTGGGGCACCAAACATTCACGGTTTTTCAACATTTGCGAGGCTCTTGATCCCCTAACCCTCGCGAATGTTGAGGGACACCTGTACTATAAATATTTTAAGGCAAGTAATGAGTGCACTATGTGTGTATTGTACTTTTTTATTGTTTTTGATGCCTAGTTCTATTGCTAACTTAATATATGTTAGTGTAAACTTGTAGCCTGGAACCTAACCTGCTGTATAAGTGGGGCCCTACTGTACTTGTATTTATGTGTACCTGTGAGACAGAGACAGAGATAGAAAGGGACAGATATACAGAGACAAAGATAGACAGAGGACAGACAGAGATAGACATAGATACAGACAAACGGAGTTAGAGGCCAGGCCGCCAGCTGCCAGCCAGCCACACAGCTGGCCGCCATGCAGCTGGCCAGCCAGCTAACCAGCCAATCAGCCAGTCAGTCAGCCAGCAGACCAAATCAGCCAGTCAGTCAGCCAGCCAGCAGGCAACCAGCCAGCCTGCCAGCCAGCCAGAATTGTTTCTCTTTACTTAGGGCATAGGTTATAAGACATTCTGAAAGGGTGTTGCACAAATATTGCACATGGGTTATTATCGAGGTTTTTTGATATTTCCTCGACCACTTGTGGCCACATCCACCTCAAAGCCACTAAACTCAGCGTCGAAATCACTTTCCTCTTAAAATAGGAGTGTTAATACTACATGACACCAGTGAATCCCAGGTTGTTTGCTGCGCTGTTGGCTCTAGCTGGCGCTCATTGAAACTGGTGTTCCCCAAAGGTACTAAGTGGGTCCAGATTTTTTTAATACCATGCACACTGAGTGTTAGGACCCACTCTATGCTGACAAGGCATCTCAGGCCAGTCATGCCAAATTTGAAGGCAGGAAAAATAAAACTTACATATATACGTTTGGGACACTAGCGGAAAAAACGTATATATAGGTTTGGACCATTTATGGGTTAATGGTTAAACCAGCATTATGAGATAATATTTATCACAACTGGGTAATAGTGATGGGCATTTGTTTCTAATAAACAATTCTTGTTCCTTTCAACACACCGGCAGCATCCCACCGAGGCCCAAAAGGAAAAAGAAAGCTTCTCCTTTTACATTTAGTAATATATACAGGTGAAGGTGTCACTAGCCCCTTGCTCCCGGCATTTTAGTCGCCTCTTACAACACGCATGGCTTATGAAGGAAGAATTCTGTTCCACTTCCCCATGGAGGTAAGAGGAAATAAACAAGAACAAGAACTAGTAAGAAAATAGAAGAAAACCCAGAGGGGTGTATATATATATGCTTGTACATGTATGTGTAGTGTGACCTAAGTTTAAGTAGAAGTAGCAAGATGTACCTGAAACCTTGCATGTTTATGAGACAGAAAAATGGACACCAGCAATCCTATTATCATGTAAAACAATTACAGGCTTTCGTTTTACACTCACTTGGCAGGACGGTAGTACCTCCCTGGGTGGTTGCTGTCTACCAACCTATTACCTAGGTAATAAACAATTAACACCAGTAAAACAATGTAAAAGAGATATACCACTAGTTGCATTATAGGAGGGTTGACGCAGGTGTCGTAGAAGCCTTCCTTAGCATTCCTAAGGATGTTACCCAAAGTACGTAGACCTAATTGACGCTGGGCTAGCACCTTGGACCGGATGAGAATGAAGAGTTCATCCATAGAGTAGCCGGCACGACCTGAAATTACACCAGACTAAAATGCAGGGCCTAATTCAAAGTTCTGGAAGTGTATCAGAGGTCAAGGCAAAGATCTAAAAAAAAGATACAAATTACAGATGGAGTCTTACAGATGGAGTCTTACTGAGGGAGCCTCACAGATGGAGTCTTATAGAAGAGTAAAACAATACCTACCAGTAGTGAGGAGGTATTTATATGATTTAAAAAGCACATACATGACAGATCACACATAATAAAAACAATGAGTGTGCCATATTTAACTAATAGATTACAAAAGGAAATGAAAGAATCAATAATTTGTTCCACTACCATTTAAACAAGAAGAATAAAGAAAACTGAAACTTATGAAGACATTTTGGTACAACTTGGACTATTAACCCTTTCAGGGTCTGTGCCATAGATCTATGGCTATACGTTGAGGGTCCAAACCGTATATCTACGCCATGAGCTCAGCTCACTCTGATAGCTGTGAGCAGTAAATTTGGGCCTAGATATGAGAGAATACATCTATGTGGTATGTGTGCACTACATAAAACAAATCCTGCAGCAAACTGTGTATAATTAGAGAGAAAAACTGAGACCGTAATTTTTTATTAAAACAGCGACTTTGCAGTGTCTTTTTCGTATTTTTTTTACTTGTATTTGCGATTTCTTGGTCTAATTTGATAGAATGGAAGATATACTACAGAAATAGAGAAGATTTTGTTTGGTTTTAATAATGGAAATGGCTTGAAATTGAACTCAAAGTAGCAGAAATGTTCAATTTTTGCTGATGTTCAGGAGTAAACAAATGACCTCACAAGTCTAATACATGACAGCTGGCGGGTCTAATATACATTCACAAATGTGGGGATATTATTTATACAATTATTACAATGTTGCATAACAGTAAATTTTCTCTTTTTTTGTTTGAATAAAAATTCATTGTGAATAAAAAACCAAAATGGAATTCATTTGTAAAGCCTGAAAACATAACTAATGAACAGGAGAATTGTTAGTTAAGTGCCAGGAATGCCTGCATTGTTTATTCTGAACCCTATTTTGAAATTAGAATATTTTGAACTTTGCATTAAATTGGACAAATTACTAATTTCGATCACTTTATTTTGTAGTTGAAACAGTTGGCTGGCGATTTCTTGTGTTCAATTGATAGAATAGAAGTAATACTAGTGAAATAGCTAAGAATTTGGTCGACTGGAATAATGTAATTGGCCTAAAATGGGAGTCAAAATCGGCAAAATCGCGATACGTAAATATCACTGACACATCAAAATTTGCAAGAGCATAATTTTGTCAATTTTCCATCAAATTTCGTACTTTTTGTTTTAATACTTCAGAAAAAGATTCTTTAGCTTTCATAAGAAAAAAAACAAAATTATTTTTTGAAAATTCTTGGACTTTGGTATGCACTTAGAAATTTGGCCTCTGGAGCCAGAAAGGGTTAAATAGTCACACAGAACTGTGAAGCTAAGGAAGCCAGTATAATATATGAGAGGAAGGGAGGGGTTAGGCTGGGAATAGTAATGAGAGGATAGACAAAACTATAACTATGCAAAGGCAGTTGATGAATAGATACAAAAAATTATTCAGGGCAGTGGTAAAACAACTGAATGGTTTACAAGTGGTAAAGTGATACAACCAGTGGAAATTAAAAAAAATATGATATATTAAATAATTTATGAGTTTAGCTCTGCTCCTGAAGTTACAGAATCAGTTTTGCAGTATGCAAAATAATTCTGTGATAAAAGCCATGGAGGACATTTTCAGAAAAGATCATGTCTAATTTCTCACCTCTAATATCCCAGGTCTTTTCTGTGTCATTGTATCCATGACAAATTAGTTTTATCATAGTGAAGCTATTTGTATGTCAGATGGCCAGCATAGACCATTCTCAAAATAGTCTGAATACAAAACAAAACAACTAAAGTGAAATAAAAAAAAACATGGGCTGCCTGGTCCCCATTACAGGGAGTTTCTTGTCAGTCTGCAACAGCAATATACATGAGGGCTCAGTTCAAGGTTTTCTACACTTGTGGTCCCACCTGGGGCCTGGGACCTAGGGCATGGGTCCTGGGGTCTGGGGCCTGGGACCTAGGGCATGGGGCCTGGGGCCTGGGACCTAGGGCATGGGGCCTGGGACCTAGGGCATGGGGCCTGGGGCCTGGGACCTAGGGCATGGGGCCTGGGGCCTGGGACCTAGGGCATGGGGCCTGGGGCCTGGGGCCTGGGGCCTGGGGCCTGGGACCTGGGACCTAGGGCATGGGGCCTGGGGTCTGGGGCCTGCGGTCTGGGACCTAGGCCTGGTGCCTGGGGCCTAGGGCCTAGGCAGGCTTTCCTGTTGACTGCCAGTTGAACCAGACTGTTGCATGGGAAACTTTGCCTCACACAGCCACCACCACCACCACCACCTGGAATTATCCATCCAGCCACAAATGCAGTAGAAGATCTATACTCCAACAGATGGTCATAGACCATTTAAATTCAATTTCAAATTTTAATTTCTTTATATGCTGTACAAAGACAATGTAGCTTACATGTGATAAATCATTGTTAGGCACAAAAGAAACTCACTAGTATGCAAATTCAAATTGGGCAATTAATCCTAATGCTTAAAGACTACTTAAGAATTAGACATAGAATACAGTGGACCCCCGCATAACGATCACCTCCGAATGTGACCAATTATGTAAGTGTATTTATGTAAGTGCGTTTGTACGTGTATGTTTGGGGGTCCGAAATGGACTAATCTACTTCACAATATTCCTTATGGGAACAAATTCGGTCAGTACTGGCACCTGAACATACTTATGGAGTGAAAAAATATCGTTAACCGGGGGTCCACTGTATTAAGTAGTATTTTAATACAGTTAGCTAAATTATTGTAGGTAGTAGGTTGGTAGACAGCAACCGTCCAGGGAGGTACTACCATCCTGCCAAGTGAGTGTAAAACGAAAGCCTGTAATTGTTTTACATGATGGTAGGATTGCTGGTGTCCAAGCCCCTCGCACACAAAACCTCCTTTACCCCCTCCCTCCAACCTTTCCTAGGCCGACCCCTACCCCGCCTTCCTTCCACTACAGACTGATACACTCTTGAAGTCATTCTGTTTCGCTCCATTCTCTCTACATGTCCTAACCACCTCAACAACCCTTCCTCAACCCTCTGGACAACAGTTTTGGTAATCCCGCACCTCCTCCTAACTTCCAAACTACGAATTCTCTGCATTATACTCACACCACACATTGCCCTCAGACATGACATCTCCACTGCCTCCAGCCTTCTCCTCGCTGCAACATTCATCACCCATGCTTCACACCCATATAAGAGCGTTGGTAAAAACTATACTCTCATACATTCCCCTCTTTGCCTCCAAGGACAAAGTTCTTTGTCTCCACAGACTCCTAAGTGCACCACTCACCCTTTTCCCCTCATCAATTCTATGATTCACCTCATCTTTCACAGACCCATCCGCTGACACGTCCACTCCCAAAAATCTGAATACATTCACCTCCTCCATACTCTCTCCCTCCAATCTGATATCCAATCTTTCATCACCTAATCTTTTTGTTTATCCTCATAACCTTACTCTTTCCTGTATTCACTTTTAATTTTCTTCTTTGCATACCCTACCAAATTCATCCACCAATCTCTGCAACTTCTCTTCAGAATCTCCCAAGAGCACAGTGTCATCAGCAAAGAGCAGCTGTGGCAACTCCCACTTTGTGTGTGATTCTTTATCTTTTAACTCCATGCCTCTTGCCAAGACCCTCGCATTTACTTCTCTTACAACCCCATCTATAAATATATTAAACAACCACGGTGACATCACACATCCTTGTCTAAGGCCTACTTTTACTGGGAAATAATCTCCCTCTTTCCTACACACTCTAACTTGAGCCTCATTATCCTCGTAAAAACTTGTCACTGCTTTCAGTAACCTACCTCTTATACCATATAACTGCAACAGCTGCCACATTTCCCCCCTATCCACCCTGTCATACGCCTTTTCCAAATCCATAAATGCCACAAAGACCTCTTTAGCCTTATCTAAATACTGTTCACTTATATGTTTCACAGTAAACACCTGGTCCACTCACCCCCTACCTTTCCTAAAGCCTCCTTGTTCATCTGCTATCCTATTCTCCGTCTTACTCTTAATTCTTTCAATAATAACTCTACCATACACTTTACCAGGTATACTCAACAGACTTATCCCCCTACAATTTTTGCACTCTCTTTTGTCCCCTTTGCCTTTATACAAAGGAACTATGCATGCTCTCTGCCAATCCCTAGGTACCTTCCCCTCATCCGTACATTTATTAAATAATTGCACCAACCACTCCAAAAACTATATCCCCACCTGCTTTTAACATTTCCATCTTTATCCCATCAATCCCGGCTGCCTTACCCCCTTTCATTTTACCTACTGCCTCACGAACTTCCCCCACACTCACAACTGGCTCTTCCTCACTCCTACAAGATGTTATTCCTCCTTGCCCTATACACGAAATCACAGCTTCCCTATCTTCATCAACATTTAACAATTCCTCAAAATATTCCCTCCATCTTCCCAATACCTCTAACTCTCCATTTAATAACTCTCCTCTCCTATTTTTAACTGACAAATCCATTTGTTCTCTAGGCTTCCTTAACTTGTTAATCTCACTCCAAAACTTTTTCTTATTTTCAACAAAATTTGTTGATAACATCTCACCCACTCTCTCATTTGCTCTCTTTTTACATTGCTTCACCACTCTCTTAACCTCTCTCTTTTTCTCCATGTACTCTTCCCTCCTTGCATTGTACTTCCAATTTCCAGGACTCAAGTCCAGCTAACCAGTTTCCCCGAATCCCTTCACAAAATATTATCCTGCTCACACTTCAACAGCTCATCAGGTCTTAAAAACCATTCGACTCCATTCACTCCTATCTAACACGCTCACTCACGTCTGCAGGAAGTCCAAGCCCCTCACCCACAAAACCTCCCCTACTCTCTCCCTCCAACCTTTTCGAGGATGACCCCTACCCAGCCTTCCTTCCCCTACAGATTTATTCGCTCTCCAAGTCATTCTACATTGTTCCAGTCTCTCTAAATGAACAAACCACCTCAACAGACCCTCTTCAGCCCTCTGACTAATACCTTTAGTAACTCCACACCTCCTCCTAATTTTCACACTCCAAATTCTCTGCATAATATTTACACAACACATTGCCCTTAGACACATCTCCACTGCCTCCAGCTGCCTCTTCGCTCCAGCATTTACAACCCAAGCTTCACACCCACATAAGTGTTGGTACCACTAACTCTCATACATTCCCTTCTTTGCCTCCATGGATAATGTTCTTTGTCTCCACAGATACCTCAATACACTACTCACCTTTTTTCCTTCACCAATTCTATGGCTAACCTCATCCTTCATAAACCCATCTGCTGACAAATCAGCTCCCAAATATCTAAAAACATTTACCACTTCCATACTCCCTCCAATGTGATATCCAATTTTTATCTAAATTGTTGATACCTCATCACCTTACTCTTGCCTATGTTCATTTTCAACTTTCAACCTTTACACACCCTCCCAAACTTGTCAACTAACATTTGCAACTTTTCTTTAGAATCCCCCAAAAGCACAGTACCATCAGCAAAAGTAACCTATTTTGTATTTTGTTTATTATCACAGTTTCTCTTAGATATGACTCACAAAATCATAATGGACCGATTGCAAAACAAACCATACCACGGGTAGGGATAGAACTCACGGTCAGAGAGTCATAAAACTCCAGACCAATGCATTAGCCACTGGGCCAGCTGGCCCAGTGGCTAACGCGTCAGTCTGGAGTTTTATGACTCTGACTGCAGGTTCTATCTTTGCCCGTGGTATGGTTTTCTTAGATATTGACAGTGGGTTAGGCTGAACAGATCACAAGTGCACACCTTCAGTACTGATCCATCTGAACTTCTGTTGCTTTTGGTGCCTGAAATGCTTATACATGTTAGTGGCTTTGTGTGTGTTGTAACAATATTTTTCTACATGTATACTACAAATGTATACTAGGCAAAGAAATAAATATTTGAATTTGACTGAAGTTACAGGTATGGTTCATTTTAACCCTTTGACTGTTTTGGTCATACATATATGTCTTACAAGCCAATGTGTTTGACATATACAGTGGACCCCCGCATAACGATTACCTCCGAATGCGACCAATTATGTAAGTGTATTTATGTAAGTGCGTTTGTACATGTATGTTTGGGGGTCTGAAATGGACTAATCTACTTCACAATATTCCTTATGGGAACAAATTCGGTCAGTACTGGCACCTGAACATACTTCTGGAGTGAAAAAATATCGTTTAACGGGGGTCCACTGTACATGTATATACTCAAAAATTATAGTGGCTTCAAACCAAGCAGGAGAAAGCTGGTAGACCCATATGTGAGAGAATGGGTCTTTGTGGTCAGTGTGCACAGTATAAGAAAATCCTGCAGCACGCAGTGCATGAGAAAAAAAAAATCGGTGTTTTTGGATTAAAAAGCCGACTTTGAGGTGCATTTTCATATAATATTTATGGTTATATTTCTTGTTTTGTTGGTCTCATTTGATAGAATGAAAAACATATTATAGAAATAGAAGTGATTTTGATTGGTTTTACTATGAAAAGAATCTTGAAATGGAGCTCAAAGTGGCAGAAATGTTTCAATTTTGCCGATGTTCAAGAGTAAACAAATGACATCACTGTCCAATAAATGTCCAACTAGCCATTCTAATATGCAGTCATGAATGGGCTGACATTATTTATACAATTATTACAATATTGCAGTAGTCTGCATAACAGTAAATCTAATATTTTTTGTGTGAATAAAAATTCAAAACAGAAAGCAAGAGTATTATAACAGGGGCCTGGAGATGTGACTGATGAACAGAGAAAATGTTATTTTAGTGACAGGAATGTCTGTATTATCATTCTGGACCCTATTTTGAAACTGACATTTTTAATTTGCATGAAATTGGCCAAATTGCCAATGTCTGACCACTTTATCGGGTAGTTGAAATCAGTAAATGGGAGGTTTCTTGTACTCAATCGATAGAACAAATACAGTTCTAAAGAAATAGCTACGAGTTTGGTGGACTGGAACAATGGAATTAGTTGAAAATAGGGCTTAAAGTGGGCAAAATCGCTGATGCGTTAATGTCGCCGATGTCGCTGACTTCAGGAGAGTGTAATTCCATAAGTTTTCCATCAAATTTCATACTTTTGGTATCATTATCACCAGAAAAAGATTCTCTATCATTTTCTTTTTTTTTTTTTTTCAAATTTTTTGCGACACCAAAGACACTTCAGGATTTGGGGTAGAGACAATCAAAGGGTTAAACTTACCTGGTTCCTTTCCATGCTTGTGTAATCCTTCTAGATGGGATATGTCTGCATCATAGGGGAGAATGTCACCCTTGAAGTTAAACCTGGCAATAAATCCCTCATTGTTCTTGAGAGGTTTTGGCTTGGGCAGATCTGTAAAATACTTGAGTTTTTCCATCTCAACCTGCAAATATTAAACACAAAGTTAGTACAGAACTTTTTTTTTTAACACATCGGCTGTCTCCCACTGAGGCAGGGCAACCTAAAAAGATTTTTTTTTTTTACATTTACTAATTTATACAGAAGGGGTTACTAGCCCCTTCCTCCCAGCATTTTAATCACCCTTATAACAATGATGGCTTAAAGAGGAAGAATTCTTCTCCACTTCCCCATGGAGCTACAGATATACAGCCTCTCCTCACTTAACGATGGAATTCCATTCCTAAGACCACGTCGGTAAATGAATTCGTCACTAAGTGAGAAGCATACTATAATGGTGGTGGGTTTGTGTCGATCATCTTCGATATTGTTTCAATGTCACCTTTGCGCCATTTATAAAATTTCTGGTATATTTTTAAATGTTTATACAGCAGTGTACTGTACAGTGGACCCCCGACATTCGATGGCATCAACATTCGATAAATCTGACATTCAATGCATTTTAATGCAAAAATTTCGCCTCGACATTCGATGGAAAACCTGACATTCGATACGATTCGTACGAGACATGTCCAAGTGTGGCCTGAACTGCCCGTGTGTGCCAGTGTTTACAAGCCAGTCAGTGTGCACGCATCTAAGGATACATTTGGTACATTCCATATTATCACTGTTTTTGGTGCTTGTTTCTGCAAAAATAAGTAAACATGGGCCCCAAGAAAGCTTCTAGTGCCAACCCTTCAAGAAAAAAGGTGCTAATGATTATTTAAATTAAGAAAGAGATAAAATTTCAAAGTACGAAAGTGGAGTGCGTGTGTCGGAGCTGGCCAGGTTGTATAGTAAACCCCAATCAACCATCTCTACTATAGTGAGCAGGAAAACGGCAATCAAGGAAGCTGTTGTTGCAAACGGTGCAACTTTGTTTTCGAAACAGAGATCACTAGTGTTAGATGTTGAGAGACTGTTATTGGTGTGGATAAATGAAAAACATAGCAGGAGGTAGCATCTCTCAAGTGATCATTTGTGAAAAAGCTAGGCAGTTGCATGATGATTTGGTAAAGAAATTGCCTGCAACTAGTGGTGATGTGAGTGAATTTAAGGCCAGCAAAGGTTGGTTTGAAAGATTTAAGAATCGTAGTGGCATACAGTGTGGTAAGGCATGGTGAGGCTGCCAGTTCGGACCACAAAGCGGCTGAAAAATATGTGCATGAATTCAAGGAGTGCATAGAGGCTGAAGGATTGAAACCTGAACAAGTGTTTAATTGTGACAAAACAGGCCTGTTTTGGAAGAAAGTGCCAAGCAGGACCTACATTACTCAGGAGGAAAAGGCACTCCCAAGACATAAGCCTATGAAAGACAGGCTTACTCTTCTGATGTGTGCCAATGCTAGTGGTGATTGCAAAGTGAAGCCTTTATTGGTGTATCACTCAGAAACTCCCAGAGCATTCAGGCAAAAGAATATCCTCAAGGCTAATTTGTGTGTGCTCTGGAAGGCAAACATTAAGGCATGGGTCACTAGGGACTTTTTCTATGACTGGTTACACCATGCATTTGCCCCCACTGTGAAAAATTACCTAATTGAAAAGAAATTAGACCTTAAGTGCCTCCTGGTATTAGACAATGCCCCTGGTCATCCTACAGACTTGGCAGAGCGACTTTCTGGGGACATGAGCTTCATTAAGGTCAAGTTTTTGCCTCCTAATACCACTCCTCCCCTGCAGCCCATGGACCAGCAGGCCATTTCCAACTTCAAGAAACTGTACACAAAAGCTATGTTTCAAAAGTGCTTTGTAGTGACCACAGAAACTCAACTGACTCTAAAAGAGTTTTGGAAGGAACACTTTAATATTCTCAATTGTATAAACCTTATAGGTAAGGCTTGGGAGGGAGTGACTAAGAGGACCTTGAACTCTGCTTGGAAGAAACTGTGGCCAGAATGTGTAGACAAAAGGGATTTTGAAGGGTTTGAGGCTAACCCTGAGAATCCTATGCCAGTTGAGGAATCCATTGTGGCATTGAGGAAGTCCTTGGGGTTGGAGGTTAGTGGGGAGGATGTGGAAGAGTTGGTGGAGGAGGACAATTATCAACTAACCACTGATGAGCTGCTAGATCATCTTCAACAGCAAGAGGCCAGACCTGAGGAAACTGCTTCAGAGGAGGGGATAGAGAAATTGAAGAAGTTGTCTACTTCTAAGATTAAGGAAATGTGTGCAAAGTGGCTTGAAGTGCAAACCTTTTTTGATGAAAATCACCCTGACACAGCTACTGCAAGCCGTGCTGGTGACTATTACACTGACAATGTTGTGAACCACTTTAGGAAAGTCATAAAGGAACGAGAGGTACAGGCCTCTATGGACAGATATGTTGTGCGACAGAAGTCCAGTGACTCTCAAGCTGGTCCTAGTGGCATTAAAAGAAGAAGGGAAGTAACCCCGGAAAAGGACTTGCTACCTCAAGTCCTAATGGAAGGGGATTCCCCTTCTAAACATTAACACCAACCACACTCTCCCTCCTCCATCCCAT